CTCAGTCCCCTGAATCAGAGAGCACAGGGCCCAGCACTAGGGGCACATGACAGATTCGGGCAGCAGCTCGTTCCAGCTCTCATACTGAGGAAGGTGATGGCAGGCCCCTCCCTCCTCTCTGCCACAGGCCTACAGCAGGAAAACAAACTGTGTAACAACTCAGCTAAACCTAAGATTATTTGAAACCCATTCCCCGAAATAATTTGGTGTTGGCAACAGATCCACTGAAAAAAAACCATTTTTTATTGTTTTCTTCTAGTAACTGCACACTTTTGCTTTCACCCACCAAGATGCTGGTTCTTTTGCTGAACAAATTAAGTTTGTTTTCAAGAAATCTGTGCCATATATGAACTAAAAGCTCCTGGCCAAAATCTGCACGAACATACAACACACATCACAAACCGAAGCAGTGTTAACCAAACCACACACACCCTGTAAAATATATTGAGACATTCATATAGCTATTAGTTGCACCTGTTATAAACACGATCTCTTAGTCACACTGACCACATTAAAATATTAATATGAATTGTTACTTATTTTCCATACTAAATATATTATATATAAATATACATATAATACAAGGGAAGCACAATTTTCTAAGAGTGACCCAGTGGAGAAACCACAGATCAGAGCAGAGCAGAGCAGGTGCATGTGGGGCGTAGAGAACTCCAAAGAGTCATTTCCACCCTCTCCCACATTCCCAACCCCTCCTGCCCGGCTCCATCAGCGCCCGGCAATGGGAGGGAGCGCCCCCCCACCTCCGCCGCCTTCTCCCTCAGGGTTTCCGCGGGGCGGGCTCGCACCGGCCGAGGCCCGGGCGGGCCTGCCGGCGGAGGGCAGGGGTTTTACCGTGGCCGCGATGTCCGCACTCACCTGCGGGGCGGCGGAGGGGCGGCCGCGGCCCCCGAGCCCGCCGAGCCCCCTCAGCCCCGACGCGGCCCCGTCGCCGCCGCCTCTGCGGCCCCGAGCCCCGGCCGCGCCCACCGGGAGCGGCCCCGCCCCCGGCGCAGCGCCCCCTGGCGGCGCGGAGGAGCGCCCGCCCCCCTCACGGCGCTGTGGGCGGGAGGCCACCGGAGCTCCCAGAATTCCCAAACTCTTTTCCCGTTTTTCTGTGAGGAAGCCGGGAGCTACAAGCCAAACATGCTTCTCTCTACACATTACCACGTATTTATTAACTACTCACCTGTGCCAGCGCCTCACCACCACCCTCACAGGAGAGGATTTCTTCCTAATGTCTACTCTAAACTCACTTTCCTTCAATTTAAAGCCCTTACCCCAAGGCCTTCGTTCCAGCTTAGACTCTCCTTTAGTTTGTTACATTTACACATGAGCAATGTCAAAGTCTCCAGTAAAATTCCACCAGCTCAGTACATTGCAGTGTACAACATAATTAAGAGGCATTTATAAATAAAACATTTTCATACTAGAAAAACTGGCTGCTGGATTATTAGGAAAGGGATTTTTCATAACAATAGTTGTATTGATCTCACTGTCAGGGAGAGGAATGGATTGAAAATCCTTTTTCTAAGCAGAAAAAAAAGGAAAACCGCCTCCAGCTTGCTATAGGGTAAAAGATGCAGGTACAAAAGGAAACTGTGCCTCGTATCTGACAGCAGCAGCATTGATATTTTGCATTTTGTAATCTTTTAGATACTCCTTTTATCTGTGTGCAAACTGCAGATTTCTAGAGATAACTGGCACTGGGTTCTGGGCTACAGCCCCACCACTCCCCAGACAAGCATCACTTCATCCCACAGAACAGAGAATAAACCTCAATTCACCGGATCCTACAGCATTACCGTGACTGGGAGCAGGAAAGAAAAAACCCATCAGACTTTAAAAGTCATTTGATTTCAAGATGTGGCTGTTTCATTTTAATCTCTTTAATCTTTTCCTGGTGCAACATTCTTAACATTGTTCCTATCAGATGTGAGCTAAATGGTGACACTGTGCATGTTCTCACCCAAGCCCTCGCCACTTAGGAACCTGACAGCTGATGATGATGATGGGTGCCTGAAGATCCCTGCAAGACTTTAGCATCTCTGGAAATAGGAGTCTGAGCATGGAGTGAACTCCAGAACCCCAAGCTTGCATGTGGCAGAGAGCACTCCTTGGAGAATGCTCTGGAGAATAAGGTTTCTGTGGTTTGCAGCAGTCTCCAAAACCAATTCCATTGTGAATCTGACCACAACATCCATCCTCTCAACCTGTACCTTTTGGGATTTTATCCCCATCCTGTGGTGTCTCCATAGCTTTTCTCCGAACCTGTCCCACAGCAGCATCTCTGAATACCTGTGAGAGAGGAGAAAACAGCAATGCAGGTGCTGCACTTCCATCCCTATCTACCAAAATGGTGTGAGGGGCTGGTTTGAACTGTACAAGCACCAAACCAACCCTGTGCAGCGAGGAATGGTGAAGCTGGCATTCCTGAGCAGCACTAGTGTGCCATGAATAACTCAGCTGGACTCACAGGGTGCTGGGTTCAGAAGCATCTAAATCAATTCAAGACTGCTTATCCCTTAAATAGAACCAACACTGGATCACATACAGAGATTTCCTAATCTGGGAGGGGAACTTTGCTCCAAACCCTTTTGTTTTTGTTCATTCCACTTAGGAGGAAGAAACCAAAAGTATTTTTAATTTGCCCTTTCCTAGGCTCCAGGACACTTTTCCCTATGCTGTAAGTTGTCATACTGATAAAAATAATCATCTGCAGGTCTTCATTTTATCCCAATGTACAAATTATTCTTGGAAGGATGGGAGTGGAGATGACAACACTCTTCTTTTGGGGAGATCTCCCAACCAATCAATCACTCCCTTCTACCCATCCAGAATGCAGAATGGTGTTAGCACTGTGCTGTTAGTGCAATATTCACCTTGTCAGAAAGTGCAGTGTGCTTATTTCTGCCTCAATAAACATGGGGATCTCACAGACAAGGTTTTCTTGGATGTTTAGGCACAGCCAAATTCTCCTGCTCTGATGTCAGCTTAGGACTGTGTTTACCAGTGAGATCCAAGCCCTTGGAGACACACAAAGATTCAGACACATTAAACTCTCTTCCAGCTGGAGGAACACCACTTTTGTTCAATGCATTTAATATTTATATTACAGCAGTATCCAGATGCCCCAGTTAGTGCAACAGTGAGGTACTTAATGTGCAGCTCTCTGCTGGGACTATTGTGTTATCTTAGCTACTCCTTTTTACAAAATAAAGCTGCTCAGTGGTCAGCCTCCTCATTCCTCTCACACCAAAAAGCAGTGGGAGGAAATTGCTTGCTCTGCCTGTCAGTTTTTTCCCCATGAATCTGCTTCTTTTCACAATTTCTTGCATCCTGAAATAACATGGGGACATCCCACCTCATCTTTGATGAGGGATGGTAAAACTAGAGAAGGATTTCACACAGGATAAAGCCAAATTCTTCTCAACCAGGTGTATCAGCCCCACATTCCCACCAGTACCAGGAGGCTCCCAAGCTCTCTCCATGCCCAAGTTCAAGTCAAAGGACACCTGGTCATCACCATGAGGACTTGAAGGAGAAATTCATACTAAAAACAGATCGCAAGAATGAATTCCTGCTGTTGCTGACACTTCCATTCCACCTTCTCCTCTTGTTCCTCTATAACTTGTGAGTCCCTCCCAAAAAAGGGACTGCTGGTTATGAGAAGTAGATGTAGGGAAGAATATTCTTGGATGATCAGATGACCATTAGTACATAAATGATGTGTAGTGGGACAAAAAGCACACTCAAAGGATGGGGTTTTAGTCATGCCACTAATGCAGAACTGAGCAAACCACTCAGATAATGACAAAATAAAACCAAAGCAACCCCGGCAACAGCGACAAGTTACCCAGCACTCACTGCAGGGGGCAACAGACACCTCTGCACAGCTGCTCACCCTGAGTTACCCTGCATTATCCTGGGTCTTAGAGGACACAGCTGAAGCACACACAGCGTCTGGCTGATGTTCCCACTGAGGGAGGCCCAAAGCCAGGAGTCCCTGGGTTTCAGGCACCACTTTGTGACACCCACCCCAAAGGCTGGGAATCACCCCAGGCACCAGCACAGGCTGGGGGCTGACCTGGGGAAAACAGCTTTGCAGAGGACTTGGGAGTCCTGGTAGAACAAATTTCAATATTTTAATACTTGAACTAAAGTTTTCATGTCCCTCTTGGTTTTAATGGTCCTCTTTGTGGACTAGCCAGCAAATCTGGGCAGAACACGGCAGCTGCAGGGGGAGAAATGCCAAAGTTCAAGGAGCAGCCACTCTTCAAGAACCAGCAGGAGAGAGCTCAGCACTCAGCACAGCCAGACTCAGAAAATGCAAACCTGACAGGAATTAAATCACGTTCTGGTTGATCTTTACAAAAAGAAAGTAACACATTTAAAACACAAGGACTCATTGCTGAGGCTGCTTCTAGAAGAGAAACAAAGAAGTATAATTTAGACAAAGTGTTCAAGGCTATCAAAAAAGAAATGGTAAAAATGATTGCTTGAAGATTTGACACACAAAATACAGAGCTTCTTTTTGCACTTAACAAAAAGGAGAATATTTTATGTATGCAGGCCATACAGCAATGAAATAAGTTTAAAAGTACCATCAAAAAAGAGACATTGACAATATAATAGAGAAAAAATGCTGCCATCAGGATGATTTAAGCATAAGGAATCTATCAGGAATCTATCACCTTGTCCAACAAAAGATACCTCTCTGCTACAAACCTTCCCCCAATTTATACTGAGTCAGTACTTTAATACTTTTTCACCAGAAATGAGCCTGAGTTTGACAAATGGTGCTGCAGCAATGGAAAAAGTCATTGTGCAGAAATTGCTGTCTTCCAGTGTCTGTTTTTAATTAGGTGGGAAATAAAAATAAGGAAGGAGAGTCTGCTTGGAACCTGCTGAGTCTCTGGATGGGAAGCATGGATGCATCTCCCATGGAAACAACTGGAGTCCTATCCAGCTGTAAATACCAATAAATCAACACACACACCACGTTCTTCTTTTTTGACATTTTTATTTATCAAAGACAGGACAACTTCTGTATTTAGAGTGATGGGAAAGATCCCAGGACACTTTCATAGCTACAATAAACTCAACCAAAAGGTACATTGTGGATTACATCAGGGATTTGGAACAACACCCTTGTTGTGACTGGCGAACTGGTGTCACTGGTGTCACGAGCACAAGTGAGGGTCCTCAGGAAGAGGATACCCCATTGGCAATGGACACAACTCTGGCAAGGATATGCCAGCAGCTCCAGAAGAAGAAAAAGGAGGATCTGGCATCCTACCTGACTGAGAGGGTCCCCAGGTACCAGAGATTGTCCCAAGGTCTGTCTCCACCACGGAGCAGAGCAATGTAAGTATTTCAGAATTTGACCTCTCACACCTAGAGATGGAGCAGGTATTATTCATGCTATATAAATACACACCTATACTGTGCATTGCCATTTATGGAAAATTAGTTCTGCAAGATTTTAATACTCTTAGGTGGAAGCTTGAAGGGTTAAGTTTACATGTCACTGTTTTCAACAAAACCCAGAAGCAAACTAGGTGAGGAAATAAACTACATGTGCCATTTCAACTCCTTAGCATTTTATAATTGATTTTCAGTATACCAATAAATACTCAGTGCAAAGCACATGCTCACTTAAAATCCTAAGCATTTTAGGAAAATCCAAAAAGAAGCTATCACATGTTGTCTACATGCTTACAGAAATATATATATTAAAAAAAAAAAAAGAGAAGTGTTTCTCACTTACAGCAATATTTTGGTTTTGGCTTAAGAAATGTCGATGCTTTTTCCCAAAATAACAGCACTTGACAAGGTTATATCATTGGCTTGCAGAAAAAAAAAACAGGTACAGTGATGGGAACAAAGTATTTACATGACTTGAAACTGAATATTTCCATATTCATCACAAAGACTGCAGCAAGGTACACTTATGATCCAACACTTCTTGTGTTGAGGGCACTGCTTGGTTTGTGACAAGGAGGATCCAAAGCAAAACAAATCAAAACCCACAGAAATGCCAACTAAAAATAATGTCAGTTTATGGGACAGGAAAAAAATGACAGTTTCCAGCAGAAAAGCTGTAATGTTCCTTCTCCTTCACATCACCCACTGGAGTTTGCCCAGGTTCTCCACAAGGTAACATGACTTCCCTAGAGCTGATCTTCCCCATGAGCAGGGGGACAGAACAAAACACCCACTAAGTGGTAACAACACACAGAACAGAACAGACAGAACAGACAGAACCTTGGGAAACAAAATTACACAGGAATATTTCTGCCTATGGACTGGAGCTGAAAATATGCTATATAGAAAAGAGTTAATGCTTTTGTGTAACTGAAAGGACAGCTTACAAATCAGGATTATTACAGGAGCATCCATAACATGGCCATTACAGAAGCAATACTGAAGGCTGCTTTGTTAACCCCAGTAATTGCACTCTCATTGCACAGGTCATATTGGCAGCAAAAGAATTCAAAATTATCCAACAGGAAGGAATCAGCAATTTCATTCACATTGCACTGGGATGTCTTCCAGCAGGAGAAAGTTCTCAATTTACCTATGGAACAAAAAAAATTAGATTAAGAGAGCATTGACAGTAGCACCGTTTTTCGTACTGAGAGAGAAGCAGTGCTTAGACTGCCACTGTTATAGAGAATCAAACTGTGAGGAGAGGGCAAAGCTCAATCTGTGACAGGGCCCACGGTGTAAACACAGAAATTGGATGGAGGCCTTGTGGTCTGTGTTGCCATGGCATCAGGGGGCAGTGGAGGGAGGCGGAAGCTGCATGGTCTGGTTCTGCCACTCCACACCCAGAAATGTAGCACAGATCCAGCACAAACCTCCTACCGAGAAATATTCTGTGCAAAGAGTGCAAGGTCTGACCACAGTCCCACCCACAGCACTCTGCACAGCAGTAGCTAATAAGCTATAAAATGTACCCCCAATTTTGTAGCAAACTGGAAATGAGAAACTGACATGAAATTTCAGGGACAGATCACTGGGCTTGGCCTCTCACCCTCCCCAGAAGAGACACTTTTGGTAAAGTCTTGTGTCTTGCAATTCATGGGCCATTTGTGCCCTCAGCATCAGCCCTACAGATTTGTTTTTGCCACAGCCATGCACTTCCTTTTTTAATTTCAAGTGTTTAGAAGTTTCCACATTTGCTTTCACTAGGAATTTAGCAGTGTGTATCCAATTTACCCACTGGGAAATACAGGGTGGATCCTGAGTGATACCTGGCATCACCAGCCAGCTCAGCCTGCATTCACAGAACCATCTGGGCTGAACAAGACCACTGAGATCATCAGGCCCAATCTTTAACCCAGCACTGCCAAGCCCTCCACTAACCCATGTCCCCAGGTGCCACATCCACATGGCCTTTAAATCCCTGCAGGGATGGGGACTCCAGCACTGCCCTGACAGCCTGAGCCAGCACTTGACAGGGCTCTCAGTGAAGAATGTGCAGAAGACAGAGCTGGAAGAGTAGATGAGGGTGGTAAAACACTGGCACAGACTGTCAAGAGGAGTGGTGGATGTCCCATCCCTGGAAACATTGAAGGCCAGACTCTCAGCAACCTGATCTAGTTAAAGATGTCCATCCTGAGACACAAATCACTTCACCCTCAGGAAAAGAGAATTTATTTTAATAGTGTCAATTCATAAACGACTGAGCCATTCATCTGCAGCTTTATTTTGTGGGCTACGCATCCTTTATCTGTTTTCAAAGACTAACAATTTGTATTTGAAACTCAATGCTGTCTTTATTTTTTTCCAGCTCCCTTGGGTGGGTTTTTGTTTGTTTGTTTACTTATTTTTTAAATTTGGATATACAGCTATCTATGTACATGCTTGTATAGCTACAATTCACATATCTAAACCATTACATTATTGCTTGGATATAAGCGTGACCTTAAAGAGTATTTGCAAGTTCCTTTTGAGTGAGGCTGAGATATGCATGCTAGGGCCAGATTAGAGGTGTCCAGGCAATGAAAGCTGATCCAAGTGGGTTATTTTAGGTCTGTGGGACACTGTACATACCAAATTTTAACTGCAAGCAAGTGTCTTCAGTTGCTAAGCAGGTGCTGTTGGTCCTGCACAGGGTAGGGCTGTTATCACAGTGGTAACATCTTAAGGCAGAACCTAAGACAACAAGGGTTTATCTTCACTGAGTATTAAACTACTGAGACAGCAGCAGCATTAAAAAGGAAAAGGAAAAAAAAAAAAAAAGAAGAATCACTTATCTGCATCTAACTGTCACTAAACATATGCCTGGTTATTAAGCTCAAGACTTCAGCTAAAATTGTTAAACTCAAGACTTCAGTTAAAACTGACAAGCTTATGTCAGTGCACCAGTTGAGGCTGGCAATTTTCATAGGCACATCTTGAAGCGTGTATTTATGTCACTTTTAAAAACACCATTATCTGCCTGCAGAACAAGATGTTCGTTTGCTCCTTTAATCTGCTCTTGAACACTGCCTTTTCCAGGCAATGACAGATACTTGCAGCTGAGTTTTTTTTTATCCATTTTTTAATTCCATTTCCTTTCCCTCTCATACTACACACTAGTTTCCAATTCACACAAGAGGAATCCCATTTTCTAGCAGCAAAACACCAGTTTTCTGCAGCATCACATCCTACCCCGATTCTCTCTCCTGAGAATCTCCTGTTCTGATTGTCTTGACCCAAGACAATCAGAACAGAAACTGAGCCCTGCTTCGATGGTTACTGACATTCCCCACAGTGGTATTAACTAATCCAGGCCTTTCTCACTGGTTTTCCTCCCTCTGGCATTTTTTTCCATGATTTTCTCAGCCTCTGCCATAACATTAAACCACTAAGTCCCTCTCTTCTACTCACCAGAGCCACAAAAAGCAATCAGAACAATGCAGGTGGTCAGCAAGATGCAGTTCATCTTGGTCATGCTTCTTCCCTAATCTGAGGGCATAAAAGAGGTAATAGAAGTTTATTCTATTTAAAAGCAAAGTGCCCAGTGATGAACCGAGGTTTCAAAACTTGTTTCAGTATAAAAGTGAAAGCACTGTCCAGGAAAAACAGGGAAACACAAGAGAGAAAAATAACTGCACTTTCCAAGGGAGGATTTTTATTCTGAGAACAGGATTTTTATTCTCAGAACTGACATTTGAGCCCTGACAGGCTCAGATGGGTCTCCTCTCTGATTACACCACTCAACAGGCCTCCCAGTTTCTCACAGCTACAAATGCACCTAACAAAAAGAAAGGTCTCAAATGCTTTTTCTCTTTTAGCAATTCCCCAGTAACCCTGGAGCCAGACTGCTCTCCTTTCTCCTCTCTCATGGAGTTGCAAGAGGTTTGGCTGCTCTGCAGGAGCTTTTGCCTCTCCTCTCCCAAAATTTCTCCCTCTCACTGAGGGACTGACACAGGCAGTAACTCACCAAGTGCCTGCAGCAGTGGCTCAGGTCTCCATGGCTGCTGCAATCCGTAGGCAGCAATGAGATGGTAAGGTCAGGAATTTTTTTTAACATAGGCAGCTCCAAAGCAGAGTCCTCAGACAGGTTTCTGCACACAGGCTCTGCACTACAATCACAGCTCCTGCTGAAAAACCTCTGCTACTGCAGAGGGGGATGTTCTGAGGAGGCATCAAGCAGACACAGCAGGGAGAGAGGGACCGCACTTGTGCTAGAAGGACATGATTTGTGTTTGTCTTTAAAGCCCAAGTGGCATTCAAAGTTCCAAAATATTAAAGGTATTCAGGTAACAAGTTTTACATCCAATAAAACTGTCACTGCTCTTAATTCTGCCTGCAAATATAAGATTTTAGCATGGCAGACCTTAACCATTTTAGGATGGAGCTTTTTCCTCCAAGGACACTGACTGTGGACTTGACAAAATGGGTTCACAACAAAAAAAATATTTAAATGCTTCTCAACCTTAAGTTTAGTTAATTTTTCTACTGACAAAAAATCCCAAACCTCATCAAACAAAAAACCCAAACCTATCCAAAAGAACCTTAAGAAATCCCATCCAATGACTTAAAAAACCAACCTGCTCTCTTTTTTCTCCTCTCTGTATGACTTACTGTTGAGCAGAGGGGAAACTATAAAAAACAAAACCATAATGTGCAAGATGAGCTTATTTTCTGGGGTAAACAACTTTGCAAGAAGCCTTTCAAGTGCCAGAGGGTTGTTCCACAGTGATGGGGACCTACAGCAGCTCTGTTAAGGCTGGTGGTTACAGCAAGAGCCCTTCTGGACAGAAAACAGAACCACCCTGGGAATCTCTCCATCTTCCAGGAGTCCTCAGTCACCCATGTGTCAGCAGACAAAAACAGCTTTGCCTTTTAGCAACACCAAGTCATGACCAGCATAAATATAAGGCAGATGAATAAAAATCATCAGAGCCAGCAAAACAGTAGTAATCCAATGCATCTGTTTCTGGGAAAAGAATGGTTGTGTGTTTTCAGAATTGTGTAATCAGGAAATTCCAACCTTTAAAAAGCAATTACTGTATCTAAAAACAGCAATTCATAATGTGGCTTAGAGGAAATTAAAGAAGAAAACGCCTCCTAAACTGAATTTTCTAAATTTTTTGTATCGTCCGGCCCATCTCAATGACAAGAGACAGCAAGTGCCACAGCGCGGAAGGCTCAGTGCCCGGTTGTGAAACAGAATTTCTCTGCAGTCCCACCAGGGAGGAGGCAAGCGGACAAGACCCGCTGCTGCTGCTGTCACCGCAGACGCCAGCGTGGGGGTACAGGGAAGAGGACCGGGGGAAGAGGACCGGGAGCGGCATCCCCGCGGGGAGCAGGTGTCGCTGCCTCCTGGCCGCGTTCCACTGCCCACAGCGCGGCCGCTCCGCGCCTCGGCCCCGCGCCCGGCCCGCGCAGCGAGCGCAGCGCAGCGCACTGCGGTGCGGCGGCCGCAGTGACTCAGGGCACGGCCCCGGCCCCAGCCCACCTGCCCCGGGCCGAGCACGCACTTCCATCCCACCGCTCCCCGCGGCTCCCGGCAAACGCCGCCGTCCTCCCGCTCTCTGCCCCCTTCTCTCCGCCGCAGCGGGACCTGCGCGCTCCCCCCGCGGCCACCGCTTGGCCTCGCCGGGCTCCCGGCGCTGCCGCCGCTGCTCCGCGCTTGTCCCGCTCACCTTCCGCGGCAAATCCTGCCGTGCGCGGCGAGCGGCGATGCGGGGCGATGCTGCCTCAGCCAGCGCTGCCTCTCCCGGCGGTGCCGCCTCCGGGGCGGGGCGGCGGCCGGGAGCCGCTGATGGAGCCGAGGCGGGAGAAGCGCTCCCGAGGCCGGGCGGCGACAGGGAAGGCTGCCAGGAGCGCGTGGGCCACCCTCCCTCACGAGTCCTGTGGCCATCGCCACTTTGGGGTTGGAGGGGATCTTCAGGACCATTCGTTCCTGCCGTGGGCAGGTGTAAGAAGTGCGTATTATATGGCTCTACGCAGATATTTCCTATATGTGTTATGGTGTATTGATCAGTATCCTTTAAACCTTTTAATAGTACGGTAAATGTAGTTTTGTAGTTGTGAAAATGCGTATTTTATGGTTGGATTTTCGCAAATATTAAAGTGAATATGATATGTGTTATGTTAGAAGTTATGCGGTATTAATTATTTTAAGTACTGTGTTAAATATAGTTTTAGGTTATAAAACATATGTTAACATATGTTAACATTTTAACATAATGTTAAAATATGTGGGATATTTTTTTAAGAGAGGAATGAAGTACTCACACCGAGCTAGCAGCCACAGGACACCTAAATCTTTCAGAGAAAGAGAATTTATTGTTCCCTTATCAGAAGAAACGAACTTCTTCCTGCCTCGCTCATCCCTGAAGACGCCGTCAGGATTATGAGCAAGAAGTTGACACTGACCAGACAGAATCTTTTGTTTGAATGGAATTTATGCATTATGTATGAGATGTATGAGTATGCAACAGGCTACTGCTTTTAAGGGTTAATCCTCTGTTAACGTGTGTTCTTTTTCAGGCTTATTTTGCCCACAAAAAGGTACCCGGACTGTCTGTAACTCCTTTGTTTTTATTGTCTCGTATTGTCCTAATCGTCCAAATTTTTATTACTCTAATTTTATTACTATTTTTGTAACCATTTTATTACTATTAAACTTTTAAAATTTTAAAAACAAGCAATTGGCATTTTTCACAGCTGGGACACCTTCCACTATCCCAGGTTGCTCCAAGCTCCATCCAACCTAGCCTTGAGCACTTCAAGGATGGTCACAGCTTCTCTGGGAAACTTGTGTCAGGGCCTAACCATGCTCTGATTAAATAATTTCTCCCCAATATCCCATCTAAATCCACCCCATCATTTAAAATCCATTCCCCTTGCCCTGTCACCCCAGGCCCTTGTCCAAGGTCCCTCTCTCCAGCTTTCTTGGAGGCCCTTTAGGTACTGGAAGGTGCTCTAAGGTCTCCCCAGATACCTCATGGTATGAATTAATAGACAAATGAAAACAGTGTTTTAGAACACACAAAGGAAAAACCAGGAGTGGAAAGTGGCACGTTCCTCCACAGGTACCTGAATCTAGATTTAAACATTCACAACCCAGGAAAACATTGAACAGCAATAGAAATGAGGACCCCAAAATTATTTTACTAATAATTAGATCCATGCTATCTAGAAAAAAAAAAAAGGTTCAGTGCTGACTTGAGGACAATATAAAATTCCTGTAAAACTACCAGTTATATTTAAAAAGGATTCTTAGATTTATTTTTTAACCCACCTAAACTGCCTATTTATTTACTAAACCTAAAGCAAATCCTAAATCACCCAGAACTTACATCAGATTCTCTTGGTGTGTTGATTATCAGTTAGCTCAGTATATTATTTTCTGTCTAAAAGATTTTGCCTCTGTTTAAGCCATAAATAAAAAAGGGATGTAAGAGTAAGATGCCTTTGGATTATTGGATGCAGCTTGTTAAATGAGAATCCCCTCAATTAATACTATAGAAAAAAAAAATCCCATATTAATTAACTTAGCTGAGGAACTGGGAACAAGGAACTTCAGCCACAGCTGAACACTTACCTGTTTTCCTTGCCCAAAATCTGGCAAGAGTCCCTCCAACAGAGCACACATTTATCTCTATCATCACAGATAAATGGTATCTCAAACTTGACCTGAATTTTGCACCTTAAATTCTTTGCATAATTCTTGAAAAATTAAACAGCGAGAGAAAAACATAACACCAGAACACTGGAATAACTTGCATGGCAACTTTCAGTTGGGCCCCTTTATTTCACTAGCTGGCGCACCACTTGTTTTTCTCTCTGTGATGCAGTAATGGCAAAGAAATCGTGGCCAAAGATGAAACCATGAAACCATTCAGCCAGCAAAATCCCACAAAAATGTTGAAAAAATCCTAAACAATTATAAGGAGACTGTCAGCATAGGGACAGAAGAAGGACCAGAACAGGTACATGTTTGTGTTGGCTGTAGCAGGGTTTCACCACAAGCTGAGTCACGGGTGTTCAGCGGGGCTGGTTTTAGCTGGCCAGGTGAAGTCCTAACCGAGCACTAGAGTCAGATCTGAGCCAGGAGAAGGTGGCAGAGGAAGGACGTTCCTGTGGTTCCAGTGACTACAGCAAGTGTTGGGCAGCTGGAGGCACTGGAGTGACCCTGCCCCACACCTGTGCTCACCCAGAGCAGTGAGGTGCTGGCTGCAGCAGTGGGACCCTCGACTCCGCTCTCTCCTGCTGCTCAGTGAACATTCCCACAGTCCAGCAGTGCTGCCAAACATCACCAACTCCTTTGTTTTCCATTTCACATTGATTCCATGATTCACACCTCTTGGGAGGGGTGAGGAAGAGCCACTGGCTCCAGTCCCACTTCAAATGCACATCGTGAGGAGCTGCCAGCTCCAGGCAACACACCCAGTGCTGATACAGCTGCCTGAAGCAAAGCAACACCCTTTGGCCTGCTACACACACACTGGTGCAATCCCTCCATTCCCTGGCCTGGCTGCCTCCTCACTCCAGACCCCTCTGCCACTGGCTGTGCCCAGAGCTGAGGCCTCAAACCCTGGCAGGGCAGCACTCAGGGGCTGAAAGCACAGCACTGTCCTGGATCTTGACTTCTCCCACAGACAGCAAGAATTCCAGCTCAGAACCACTCCCCAAAAATGAGTGAAATTGCCAAGAGTTGGCCGTGTTTGTTGTGTAGAGTCCCATGCCTTTGAGCTGATTCCACTGCACTAGAACATAGAGATCCTGGGAGGAAACTTCCCAAGAACAGCCTCCAACCATGAGGGTTTATCTGTCCCTGGAAACACACAGCACACTGACAGCCCTGCAGGAAGTTCTAGTTCCACCAGAACCTTCTTGTACTGATCCTTGACCAAACTTTTGCGGAAATTTCTTACCCCTCATAATATTGTGGAAACCCTCAAAAATCCTATTGTGTAATAGTGTGGTAACCCTCAAAAATCCTCATGTTTTGGAAGCATTCCAGCAATTCAGTGTTGTGAGGGACAGCACAAGCTGGTTTTGTTTTTGGAGATGTATTACCTAAGGACTCTTGCTGTAGGGATCAGACTCAATACTTGTTTTTCCACCTTGTGCCACTGTGGAAAATGCACCAGGAAAAGCTGTGAGCACACAAAGAATCCAATACCTGGACTTGCAAAAAAAAGTGAAATCTGGAAATTAGTCAATAATAGAAAATTTGAGTTGGAACCACAATATACCAGTCAGTCTACCTCATAAAACCTACAATATCTGGCTGTCAAAAGAAAGGACTGACTACACCAGTGCTGATCACAAAATTATTGCTCAAGTCTTGGCAAAAACAGTCCCACATAGCACTTGAGAACAAAAGAGGCAGTTGTTTATTAATGACAACAGAAACAAAAAAAAGATAAAGCAAACAGATGCTTATTTAAATATAAATCTTCTAGCCATCTGCTGTTCTGCCAGCCTCCTATTTATTTTTTTTTCTTTTTTTTATTCAGTTACAAAAATTCATCCAGGGCTCAGGAAAACATGATACATAACATAAATTTGTCACCTATGACAACAGCAAACATCATGTAACAGAAAAAAACCTCAAAATATATTTACAAATCCATACTCTGTAGTCATTGAGAAATTCCTTACTTAACGAGTGGCAGATTATGCATGGACACTACATTCCCAGAGGCATTCTCCAGTCAGAGTCACTTAGCATAAAATCCAACTGACAAATAGATTGTCTATAAATAAGGCCAGTTTCACTCCTAATTTATACATTTTGATGACCAGAAGTTTTTGCTATTACTATGTTAATTTAAAAAAAAAAAGCATAACAGCACCTAATCTCACCCAAATGGGATATTCAGACCAAACTGCAGGTTTCATTCTTAGCAGCAGTTATCCAGAGCAGAAACTCACGAGAAAGGACAACAGGATACACCCTTCTAATGCTTTGTATAAAATCAAATCCCTACACCATATTTGCAGTATGATCATAAGTAGGCAATACTTTAAAGATGTGAGATATGAGTACCTTGGATTATCAAGCTGTTTCACACTTCAGAAAAAAGTAAACAAAGCCCAAACACCTTCCTCTTCCTCTCCCTCCCTCAGTTTTCCTCCCTCTTCCCCCACTTCCACACCAAGGAAATAGAAGTTATACTCTTAATGAATATGAGAACTGGCACCAACATTCATGCTAGTTGCCCTGATGTGCAACAGAGTTCATTTACAACAGTCAGAAATATTCCTATGCACTAGCCCTGAAGAGTTCAGCTTATGCAAACTGTTTGGGCAAAAATCCCAATACAGCATCCAGAGGGTGCAGGAATGTCCAACACTGTTCATGGATCTCAGGAGTCATCAATGCCTGTGGAATCTTCATCTTCATCCACTGCAGATTCACTGGGATTTGCTGCCTAATACAAAACACACCCAGGTTTAAATCAAATCTTCCCTTCCAGTAATTTTAAGAAAGCACTAACAATTGCCTAGAAAAATCTGGGCTGCATTATCACACCCATTAGCTGAAGCAGACATTGTGATCTATGTCCTAAAACCAAGGTTAATTTGCAACAGAGGAAATTTTGCCAAACTACTTGACCTTTCACTCCCTAAGGATCCACTGGGTTTCAATATTCCATACCTAAATTATGTAAAGCCACAGTTCAGTAGCTCAGCTGTACACATTTTCTTGGTGGTTTAGGCTGTCTTTTACTAAAGTATCTTAAAAAGAAAAGGGTCATTACTACTTTTAAAATAGGAGTGGAGCAACAGAGAAAAGCAAATTACTTTTCCAATCAGCTGGAGGGAAAGAAGTTAGGAAGGCAGTAACAATTCCCAAAAATGTGAGCAAGAGTTAAGAGATATCATTTTCTGTTAGAAGCACGACATCTGCTGGCACCTACTCTTAGAGGCACTGGGAATGAGTGTCTGAAATGCTGGGATAAACCTGTCACAGTGTGCAAGCAGCTGCCTGCTCCTGAGGAAAGCTCACAGCTCCTCGGTGCTTGCACTAATACTGGGGACAAAATAAATCAAGAGCTCTTCTCTAAATGTGTCAAAGAAAAGGGAGAAATTATATAATTAACCCACAATCTCCAAACTAAAACTACATTATAATTAACAGCAAGTGAAGTATCTTGGTGATTTGCAAAGTCATTAAGTGACTTCATGAAATGCACTTTCAGCAAGAACTAATGCACATCACAGGCTCTACAGTTTTTAAACTGTCATTAACTAGAGCATGTCTGAATAGAGAGCTACATTATTATGGCTATAATTAATGAGAGTTCTCCCACCAAGGAGGGAGCTCTGAAACCCAAGCAGTTCATGCAATGCCATGCCTGCAGGCACCAGTGAGGAGCTCTGAATCGTGGGGAATGTTTTGTATGGAATCAGCAATACAAACACTACTCAGCACTGAGATTTTTGTAGTTTTTGCAATTTTGGGGTTTGTTTTAGCCAACTGCCCCTCTGCTTACCATTCATGCTGTGGACACCTTGAATGCTGGACACACCATATGAAACCTAGGGATTGTGACATTAAAGAATCTGTCCTTGTTGTAGAGGCAGTGGAAGGTGTAGTAGCCCTCCATGTATCCAGAGGTTGTGGTAAATGTGGTACAGCTGGTGTACTCGTAGACTTTCCCTGGGCTGATAACTGGGAACTCTCCTGTGGGTAAAATATCACATCACAATAGTAAGGACTGATGGAGAGCTACCATTTAGCAGTTGCTAAAGACTTGCACTCTACAACAGACTCAGGCAGATCACTTGGTATTCTAGTGGATGCATAAATTGATGCTCAGCAATTATCGGTATTATAAAAAACTAGAGAGGTGTTAGGCAGCAGGATGTTCAGATACCCCTTACAAACTTGAAAGCCAAAACAGAGGGACACATCTCTTTTTCTCTGATTTTGATACAAAGCCCACAACCCAGCAAACAAGCAATAACAGAATTTTAATAACAAGAACATTAAATACTCTCTCCAGTAATTTTTCACCTACCAACTACTCCAGGACCTTGGACTTCTTCCACATCACCTTTGGCATTTGTTATTCTCCAGTATCGACTCTCCAGCTGACAGGCATTCTCAGGAAGGGCATCTTTGGACATTTCAATTCTAGAAGCCAAAGAACATAACACAATCCTTTCAAGAAATGTTTTAGTGCCCTTGGGATCACCAAGCAGACTGGGAAAAGAAAACACCCACTAAAGTAGCCCAAATCAGTTGGTAGGATCCACCTCCATGCTTCACTATCCTTTACCCTTTTCTAAGTCACAAGAGCTGCTTGTAACTGCTTTCCCCTACCCATCACTGTATTTTAGCAATTACCAATTTGACTGAAACTTTGTGTATCTGACCAAGTAATGATCAGGATTATTTTATTAAAGAGTACAGCATGCTGTGCACCTCCTGTTCATTTCAGAACATTTCTGAATGCTGCACATAAATTTATTTTGAACATCCCACAGGTCTATCCTGCATTGTAAGAATTAATTCAGTTATTTTTACCTGATTCTGTAAGTGAAGAAATAATGTGGTGGATGTACAGAACTGAGTTCAGGTAGAAAAGAGGTGGACACAGACACGGTGATATCTTCTGTGGTAGCAACACAATCTTTATCATGCACATACCTGCAGAGAGGAGAGCATTAACTCTGCAGACAGCTCTGCACGTTCAATACAGAAAACTAAACACAAAGTGGTTAATTATTAATAATAAATATTAATAAAAACACTTGTTTAAATAGGCATGTGTCATTATAAAAAGAAAACAACCTAGAAACTCTAGTAGCAAATTTATTTACAGATCCAAGGACTTGGTTCTACAGCATCCCAGTTTGACAGAATCAAGGTTCTTGATTGTATTTAGAAGAAATTGCAAGTGCATGAATATTCAAACACCAGAACAAGTCCTGCTTATTTACATATTCAAGAGACCAATTAGCTGAAATATTTGGTTTTTTAGTAACTCTGAACAGTCCTGCAGCAAAATCACACTCATGGCACACAGAATAAATATCATGTTGTTTGCTGAACTTCAGATAACTTATAATGCAAAATTCTGGTCCCATTAATGCAAAGGTACAAGCTCTGAAGATTCTGGTTGAAAAAATAAAGTAGCTTTAAGCATTCTGGTTTACATGTTTATTTTCAGTAGTTTCATGGGCTTTCACCTCTCCCCACCACCAGTTTTTGTATCAGATACCCCAAACTACTTGGGGAGAGGTAAGCATGCAGAGAAGCAGCACCAAAACCTGGCACTGGTTACAAATCCCAGTCACAATACCTGAAAATCTGGTCTCTGATGATAGGATAACCTCCAGTGACAACTTTGTTTACATAAGATGTAAACCATTCCAAGTAAGATGTACCTAGATGGCAAGGAAGGAAAGCATTCCTAAGGATGGGCAGATTTACCACTAAGCACATTACAGTGAATACTTCAAGGAAAAAGTTTAAAGCTTTGATTATTTTCATTAAAAACTCTCAGGCTTATTGAGATGAGTCAGTCAATATTCCAGATCATTCTACCAACAAGGATCATTAGGAGAAACCAATTAAAAACTAAAGAGTTCTGGGTGCACCCTCCAGAAATGACACAGCCAACAAAGAATCTCTTAGCTAAAAGTATTTAACACTATAATCAGGGTCTTATCACTTGGATTCCATATGGAAACCTTCTAAGGAATACTGCAGCATTTCTTCTCCTTTAGAAGAGAGATAAATCAGAGACACACTCTGCACTCCTCTACAACCTCAGAAGACTAAGGCTGTATGTCATTGTGGGATTTTGTACACTTGCAGCCATTGTCTGAGAGCAGCTTTTCACACACCCACAGCCATTATTATGGAACAGCTTGATTGCTAAGCACACTCTCAAGCTGTCACATTTAATTCCCAAAGAAGAGAGTTTTACAGGCCAGCTCTCTGCACAAGAATTTCTCAGCCATAAATCTTCCAAGCATTGCAATATGGAGTTCAATAGAAAAGTAGAGAGTTCAACTGTTTGTCAATATTAGTGATTCAAAACTGGATTGAGGCTGAGCTACCAAGAAATTATTATCCTTGCCTTCCCTGGTGTGTTATCAAGTACTCCCACTCCTGTTAGATTAAGTGTACTTACCACTTCTTCCTTAGAGCATGAGCTGTGTGTGCTGTCCTTTGATCTTTTGGAATGCTAAGGGACTCCAAGTTTATTATCCTCCTTTCTGTCACTAATCCACAAAATGCAAACCTTGTATAAAGTATACTGTGTATCAAGTAAACCTTGTATAAAACTCTGAATGGAGGAAGTGGATCTATTTACCTGCCACCTTTAAAATGCTAAGAGAAATGCTGTGCATGGAATTTCCCCTCCACCCATGGTAAACCAAGATTAAGCCAAGTGGAACATTTCTAAATATGTTGGATGATCCCACAGTGACTAGTTTATTTTGAATATTTAATCAGAAGTGTTACCTGTAATGAACATAACAATAGTAGATGGATTGCGAGCCATTTGCTCCTGAAAGGGAAAGAAGTTTAAGGATATATTAGAGAGCATTGGACTTTCAAGGTTACAATTTAAATAACACTTTCCCTATATTCACTAAACCTGAAGCCTTGACACATCACTGTAGTCCCAGTCAGATCCTCAGACATGTAAAACTCACAGTGCTCCCATGACCACAGCATTCACAGCTTCAACTTCCCACCAAGGCTCCTGCACTACCAATCAGCACAGAAGTCCTGTGGGAACACAAACACATCTTCCTTACTGGACACTGGTAGAAGATCTCGTATTTATTGCGTCCCTCCACACTCTCCAGGGCCATGTACTGACTGAGGCCAGTGTGGATGCAGAAGGTCAGGGGCAGGCACTGCTTGAGCCCCAGCCTCTGCTGGAAGCCCCCGGCCGCCGTGTCGATGTCCAGCAGGTCCTCGGAGCGGTAGTGGTTGGACAGGGCCATGCTGCCCATCAGCCTGGAACAACAAAAACAGGGAACACCAACAGGAGACATCACTCACAAGGCAAAGCTGGCTGGTCATCTTTTGGAAACTGCTTCTTTCAATGCTCTAGATGCATATGAGACTGAGCTGAAATCTGTAGCCATGATATTTTCTGAAAAATCCTGTCCTTAGGATTTTTTTCCTCCGGAGAAGCTGAGAGGCCTCAGGAACAAAATGTAAACAATGATTATCTTCTGCTGTGGAATGCAACAGGTGGATCTGTGATTGGTCTCATGTGGTTGTTTCTAATTAATGGTCAATCACAGTCCAGCTGTCCAGACTGTCTCAGTCAGTCACAAGCCTTTGTTATCACTCCTTTTCTATTCTTAGCTGGCCTTCTGATTAAATCCTTTCTTCTATTCTTTTAGTATAGTTTTAATATAATATATATCATAAAATAATAAATCAGCCTTCTGAAACATGGAGTCAACATTCTCATCTCCTCCCTCATCCTGGGAGCCCTGTGAACACCATCACAGAAATCCAAGCTGAACATCCACATGCTGCACCAGGTTATTAGTTCACATCACCCTGGCTTTGTGGAAGCATCACCCAAACCTGAGTGTACACTCCACACCCACACTCCCAGCTGGGAACACCAGGGAAAGGCAAATGAGATGCAAATTCCTGCAGATGCTGAGCAGATGCTGTTATGAAAGCAGTGATTCAGGTGCAAGCTGCCACATGTCAGCATGCTAAGAGCTGTCCCATCCTGGGCAACAGGTTCCATTCCTCTTTCTCCTTAGGAAGTCTGGCCTGGAATTAGCACCTTCTACAGAAGCTGTGCCAACATGCCAACACAGAAACCTGAAGCACCTAACAAGGACAAGTCCCACATAGTTTCTGATCTAACAACCTGCTGCACAAACTTCCACTGCCTACCCCTGATCTTCCCAGTCTTCATCCCCCATGGGACCACACCTTCCGTGGAAACCTTTCTCCAAGCTGGAAGACTTCCCCAGAGCTTTGTGTCTGCTCCAGCAGCCCCTCCATAGCCACATCATTACAGTAGAGGCTTTTTGGGAGTGAAACAGTGAGAAGAGAGGATGCAAATGGCTGCAGAACACCATTTGAAATCTACAGAACTAGGGCACCTATCTCCTCTCTTAAAAAATTTTGAAGTCTCTCCTAGAAAACAGAACTAGAAATCATCCTTATGGTTTCATAAAAGAGTTTCTTGAATCCCTTCCACACATAAAACACTCAAATTGGAGAAAGCTACACCTTCTTTATGAGTGAAGGTTTTGGCAGAGCAATATAAGTGCACTCCTCCCTACAGACATTGCAAAGATTTGCTGTAGTTTTCCATTTTTTGCTTCTGTTTGCAGCACTTCATCAGGTGCTTCAAACACCTGATTTTTCTACAGCAGAAATACCAGAAGCTTTGGTCATCAGCCTTCTAACCCTAACGTAAAAGGGAGTGTTTCACTGCAGAAACTGCATAAAATATACACATTTTCTACAGAGGAAACCCAATTTGCAGAACTGAAAATTTGATTCTACCTTAATATGACTAACTGGTTTTAAGTCATTCCCTAACCATTTTAAAGAATAAAAGAATTACTAAAGAATGAAGCTTAAAGAGTGCAAGGGGCTAATTTACTTCTGTAATACAAAGCCAAACTTCAGGGGAGCAACTTGCAGTGCTGTGATTAAAAGTCTAACAGCTGGAAGTTTAGAGTTGTTGCAAAAAACTGACAAGGGTTCTCATTAGGAAAAGGGGAAGTGTAAAAATAATTTGAGCAATTAGAAAACCACCTTGGGCTTCCAATTACTTCCAAGATTAGAAGACAGCCAATTTTGGAAGTGTCACTTAAGCGGTGACTCAGTCACAATACATTTAAATGCTTCATTTATCCTGTTCTGGGGACATTTCACCTTTTAATAAGTGTCTAAGAAACACAAAAGGAACTAGTACTTGGTAAGTAGCTTTCAGTCCTTACCCTGGAACAACCAACTTCTGCCCGTTATGGATACGGAATGAACACCGATAGTCATCGGGGAGCTTGCAGCGGATTTGTGCTTCCACAGCATCCAGATCTTCCTCCCTCACACTCTCTGGAAAAGAAAGGATGCTGCAGGTATTTCAAACACAAAGCATGGAATCTGTAAATGCCCTCATCCAACCAGCATGGACTCAAGTCAGAATCTGGCGGCTCCACTGTATGCTGGGTGGCACACAATGAGTATCACAAATGTGAGAGGAAAATGATGACTAATTGATTATTTAATACAGCCCCAATCTCAGTCCAGTGCAACCTCCACAGGCCTGAAAGCAGCAAATGTTTATAAAATGGAAGGAACCTTTCCCCCACAACACTGCCACAACTGAGTCCCAGTTACAGCTCTCAATCTCTATTGATTTTACTCTTTCATCACCCTAAGGGTTGGTTCTTTCAGTTTCCAGTTCCATCAGTGACACAGAAATGCTGGCTGCCCCCATTCACCTGGAATCTGAAGCAATAAATGGGTTGTAAAAGGGGGATTTTCAAGTCAATAACACAAAGGGGTGGAGAAGAACTATTCTTACATTTCCACATGCACTTCAGGGGCACTCCAACACCCTCACTTCCAGTAAAAATTGGTCTGTTCCAATCCATTTTCTTAAAGCCCTTTTCATACTCATTACCTGTTTCATTAACAGGACATAAATTAACAATTCATTGAAACAGTATCCCTTACAAATGGCATGAAAAAGGCCTAAATTTTATCTAAAACCTGCCATCGCTATGTAAGAGTGGAAATTGGTAATTTGAAATTTGTTTTTGTCTTTCTGTATATAAATAAAAGCTTCACATTCTGTCTTGAAAAGTACTAAGAAAAACATAAGGATCCAGCACTGTCCAAGCAAACCAAGAAAATGCAAAATTTAAATGGGAAGGAGATTATCTGTCTCTTAACATTGTCTCTTAAGAGATCATTTGTCTCTTAATTTCACAGATCCGGTTAAATTAGACATCATGGTTTAAAAGTCAGCTTCATACAGAACACTGAAATGCAGCTGAAAATGTAAAAGTTTTTTAGTCCCCTATATGAGAAAAGCCAAAACTCGGTGTAGCTGTGATTTACAACCTAGAACACTGGAAGTACTTCAAGGATTAAAATAGAAACTGAAAACAGAATCTAGGAGGGGAGTAAAAAAAAGGGAAAAATTAATGTTCCACCTCTGGACCACTGTAAGACCTACAGAAAAAAATAAAATAAAACTCAACATTCTTTTTGTTTGGCTTCAGATTAGAATGTCTGCTTTCATGTGACAGTGTTTTAATGAGGTCTTATGAAAACTTTACAAATAAAATCCCACAAGCAGGTCCTCAAAGCAAAGGAGTTACTACACTAAAAAAATAACAAACAATAGGTCATAGCAACCTAAAAGTATGATCAAGACAGAGCAGTCCCTAGAAAAAAATCACCTTGACTTCAGAGAATCTTTGGATCAGTAGGAACTGGCCAAGGACTCTTGCCTGTGTTTGTAAGGAAGGGAGAGCACATCTACTTGACTTTCAGGACTGCTAATTAAAGCACACACCTTTCATGAAAGCAGCATGAGGCCTCATAACAGGGGTTATTAGGCTGGGTGAACCAAGCTACTGCCAGGTGTGCCAGGTACCTTTCAAAGAGCTGATCATGCGCGGACACCACTGCCCCAGGTACTGCTCCAGGTCATCCCAGGCTTTCTTCAGCGTGGCATAGTAGTGGATGTACCTTCCTAAATCAGAGTAGGTGCTGATGAAGATGGCTCTCCAGCTCTGATTCCGTCTGCTTTTTTCCTCCCTAAGGGCACATGGAGAAAATGTGTTCAAATGGCAGCTTGAAAAGACTTCTAAACCCAAGGAGTTGGTATTTGTTATTTGGCAGGAACGGGATGCATAACATTAACCCAGGAACACTCTGTGCCATGTGAAGCTACACAAACTCAATTAATTCCAGCATCTATTCAACAGCAAGTTGGAACAGAATTAGGAAACATTTGGGCTACTTAGGGGAAAATTTAGAAACAATACTCCCTCACACAGAGTGCCTTCTGAACAGAGCTCTGTCTGGTAGTGAACCTTAGAGCTGGTGAAAAGCTAATTCACATCCTTCATTACTCAGCTTTTCTCAGCTATGGAGAAGCTGAGAGTATGAGCTGGATGTAAGATGGACTGAAAATCGTCTGAACAATATCTTTTAGAAATTCATTTTCATAGGAAAAAAAGCTTAAAACAATCCCACTTACTCTGAAATGAGCCAGTATTTTTTGCAGTGTCTTTTCCACAGTGGGTCATGGCTTGATAGCTGATTTAATCTTCTATTCAAATAGCAGCAACTATAAACAAAATCATTAAATGTGACTGCAGCAAAACAAACAGGCAGAAATGCTGTATCACACATCGCATTCTCATGAAAAAAATGCAGAGTTTGAAAATTATTTGGCTGTCCTTTTAGAGCTGTGCTTACAATGGTTAGAGCTCTTCATCACAGTTGTGTAAGTCATGAACTACTTTTCCACACACTTAAAGAACTGGCAGCAATTAAGTACTTTTGTAAAGCAGGTCACCCTGCAGACCTACACCAGAGTAAACAGTGCCTGAAAGATTCCAGCATGACTCCACTCCACCAGTGGAAAGCATTCCAGTAGCACAGGATGCCATGATTTAAATCCCTTTTTATCTGGATGGTCAGGCTCTGCCCCATCTTTTCCACAGTAAGCTACAGAAGCCATACAGTCTGAGTATTACAAACTTACTTTCCTCTTTAAATTGTTTAAATAACAAACTTTGAAGAAAGTCTCCAAAAGACACCATCAGTTCAAATGTGGCAACATCACTTGCTCTGGTAGCTTGTTCTACAGTGCCACATGTGTGTTTCAAAGACTGTGATTAACCCCAAATGACGGCACCAAACAAGGTTCCAGTTATTGCTTTTGGGGGTTTTATAAACTGTTTAAACTAGAATTGTATTAGTATCTCAAAATCAACCTCAAAGTGATTCTCCCATATTCCCTGACATCACCCCTTCCATCCACATCCTCACAAACAAACTCAATTCACACCTGGACATCTGGCTGTGCAAAAAATTTATGACGTAGGGATTTTTTATATTTTTAGGAGGTGGTGAACTGAAATATCCCCATGGAAAAAAGCCCTTGCAGAAATCTATTGTACTGGTGTTTATCAATCAAGCCTGTCATTTCTGGAAGGGAGTAAGTCACCACAGCACCACAGGAACATGTGGCTTCAAACATGATAAAAGAGAAATGCAAGCCATTCTCACTAATTACACTAACAATGTAAAAGTTGGCACATGATCAAATATCTAAGGGCCACCATAACAACTGTTATCACTTTTGCTTACGCTTGATGTCTTTTTCGCTGATATCCTAAAAGAATTCTCCCTGATATCCTTATCATTCTTGACTATTATTTATTAGGGGTAATAAAAAACCAAAACCCCCAAATTTCTGGTAATACTCCATTTTCTTCTTATGCTTATTCCTCTCTCTTTGATTAAACACTGTGGTTTCAATCACTGCCAAACCTTGTACTTGACTGCTGAGGTTTTACCCAAAACCACACTCTCATCTTCACTCTATGATTCATAACCCTTCAGCCCAAGAAGCACCTGCCACTTTCATCCAAGTTGTTTTTTCCCCCCTTAAAAAGTCACCCTATTCCATTTCATTTGGTTTTCCTCAAACAGTGGAATACATTTACTAGCAGCAAGAACACCCTTTGTTGGCCCGTTGAAACACAAGCTTCGGGGAAATACTGATTCCACAAATTTACTTACTGCTTCCTTTAGGTACAAATACATAATGGGGGAGAGAGAAACAGATTCATTGAATGGTTTGGGTTGGAAGGGACCTTAAAAATCAATGCGTTCTCCTACTATAGGCAGCGACACCTTCCACTAGCCCGGGCTGCTCCAAACCCCGTCCAACCTGGCCTTGGACACTTCCAGGCATGGGGCAGCCACAGCTTCTCTGGACAACCTGTGCCAGGGCCTCACCACCTTCTCAGTAAGAGGGAAGATTTCATTTTGTTAGAAAGATGACGGTAAAAGAGGGGAAAGCCCGGTGCTGCTGGAAGGGAAAAGTACTCAGACCGTGTCCTCCCCTCAGCGCTTCCTCCGGAGGCAGGCAAGCCTTTCCCCGCACAGCCCGGGGAGGGCTCCGCCCGCCGCGCCTCTGCCATGCCCCGGGCCGCCCGTACCTCACCAGATCCCGGTAGTCGAGGAAGCTGAGGATGAGCAGCAGCGGGTCGGTGGGGAGCAGCTCCAGGCTCAGGCTCGGGGAGAGCTCCATGTCCGGGGGCGCCGCCATCTTGCGAGACGTCCCACGGACGCGCCGCCCATCACGCCGCTCTCCGCGCCGCCCGAGCAGCGCCTCCCGGGGGCGGCGGCTCCGTCGCGTCCTCGGGGCTGGCATATCCGCCCTCGGAGCTCCCAAATCTGCCCTCAGAAGTGCCAAATGAGCCCTCGGAGCTCCCAAATCTGCCCTCAGAAGGGCCAAATGAGCCCGCGGAGCTCCCAAATCTGCCCTCAGAAGGGCCAAATGAGCCCGCGGAGCTCCCAAATCTGCCCTCAGAAGGGCCAAATGAGCCCTCAGAAGTGCCAAATCTGCCCTCGGAACTCAGCCCTCAAAACACTGAATTCAGCCTTCAGAACTCCTAAATCAGCCCTCAGAACTCCCAAATTAGCCCTCAAGAACTCAGCCCTCAAAATTCTGAATTCAGCCCTCAGAACTCCCAAATTAGCCCTCAAGAACTCAGCCCTCAAAATTCTGAATTCAGCCCTCAGAACTCTGAACCAGAGCTCAGCTGTCAGTTCCCCAGAATTCAAAACTTGACTCTCGGAACTCAATCCTTAGAATTGAGAATTTGGCCCTCAGAACTCAGCCCTGGCTCTCCTGAAATTCAATTTATGTGCCAAGGGGTTTTGGTCAGGGAATGGCCTGCTTTTCACAAGATCAGCTTCTTAGTGGTCTAAATGGACAATAATAACTGGGCAAAACTAAGACAGAGAAAATAAATTTACTGAGTTGAATATCATCAAAACAAAACAATGTTGCATGTTCAGGATCACATTTTTATAGGAAAAGAACACTCAATGTATGACAGCTTCACAAGCAATAGACACTACTCTTTTAATGCCCCTCACCTTTAGAGAGTTAAATATTCTTATATGAAAGAAGGAGTTATTTCTTCTGCATGATTTTTTTATGCTAGATATAATTTTCTTTTCTCCCTTCTTTTGCAGATATCAGTAGGATTTTAATGATATAATTCATTGTCCTAGCAACACTGCTCAAATAAGAGCTGGAAAGGAACATGGGGGTTGTTTTATGACTGCACTATTGCTAGCTCTTGGGGAGATTTTTGTCCTTTATAATTTCTATAATTGTAAAGTTTCCTGTAGAGCAGAAAACACAATAGCAAAAGTATATTTGAAACACTAATAAAATTATATTACTTGTGTTTGTCCTTGGGTTTGTGGCCCATGAAAATCTAATAATGCAGAGCCAAGAGAAGGTCCATAATTCTTTATGTCTTTCAGGTTTTACCAAAAGCCTGGAGAGTTCTGCTTCTAGCACTTACATAGACCCAAGCTGTCGCTCAAGGGCTTTAGCAGTGGCGAAGATAGAGGTGGAGGATCTATAGGAATTAGTTATAAAAATTGATTATCACCTCTGGTCAGGCTAGGGGCTCCTCAAGTGCAGAAATGGCTGGCAATGGATGTCCTAACAATTATTTAAACAAAAACATAGTAAAATAGAAATATCTGTCGCTGAGACTGAAGGAAAAAAAACTAAACAAAAAGCAAGCAACCAATCAAAACCCACAGAACCAAAAGCCAACATGAACCCATTTGAAATTGTATATTTCAATGTTTTACCAACAGCAGCCTTTGCATCCTCCATCAAATAACTGACAGCTGCAGAAACTGTGACACCAGTAAGTTATCATGGAATTTTCCTAGCTCAGCCTAGACATAAAAGTTCTTTTCCATTTCAATAATAGAGCCTAATTTTCCTTCCATTATCACCAGCCATGGAGCCCAAATGGCCAAATAGATCAGAGGTACTCATCAGGCTGGAAACTGCTCAGATTGCTCTGCATGTCCAGTGTTTAATCTGTGAGAGACGATGAGGCTTTTAGCATCCTTCATTTATTTTTACTTCTTGAAAATCTAATGAAACGACACACTGGGGATCTTCACTGGGTGCTGAGTGTCTCTGGAAATTCAGCTAATGTGCTAAGGTTTTGGGGAATGGGCTCCTCTTCACAAGATCAGCTTTTTACTGCTCTAAATGGACAATAATACATGGGCAAAACTGAGACTTTGAGGGGAGGAGGCAGCTTGGGGAATTGATAGCAAGAAAGAAGCTGAGGTCCAGAAAATTTTTGTTGTTATTATACTGTTCTTATTGGGTTTGTTCTTTGCTGTAGCAAAGATGCAATAAGGTCAGGGCTTCACAGAAATAACCAGGCAGTGACCTTGGCTTGGAAATCCAATCATGTAAAATTAACCAGAACACAAGGAGTGACTGTAATAAAGAGCATAGAAGGAGCAGGGTAGGAGAATTCAGAACGGGAGCACCAAGATCCTGTGGTGACTCCAGTGAACCACACAAACATAAAGACAGTTCAGCAGGCCTTTGAACAGAGAGGGATTTACATATGAGCTGATAACAAATCGCATCTTTGGGCTTCACAAGAGTGAATCTCAGATGAGGTGTGAGAGATGACAGGGAGGGAGCAGAGCCAGAACTTCAGGGAAATACCTACGTGAATGAATTAAGTATTGCATGGGAGCTTGTTGGACATTTTAGTAACAAATGGGATCTCTGACAGAGCACAGCTTCAAGCTGCCTCCTGACACAATGATACAACAGCTGAAAAAATCCCTGCCTTGTTACAGCCACATAGACCCAGTATAAAACAACAAAACCCCTCTCAAACCTCACACAGTGGTAAATTAGCCTTGGCAGCTCCACAGTCAAATGAAGTCGAGGGATGTTGTCATTATATTGCACAGGTTCCATATTGCTAGAGTTTCCTACCTCCTTGATGTTTCTCGTAGGCAGCTCCTCCAAGCACTAACACTTTCTTCTTCTCACAGTAGCCAAGTGACTCCAGATCCCCCTCAACCAACCAATCCACTCTTTTATAACATTCTTCTTTTTATCGGCTACAGCTGTGGCCTGTTAAAATCAGGCCTGCTCCTAATCTTTAATAATTAACCCAGCTGCAACTCTTTTAGGGGGTAAGATTACTTTCTATACTACCTTTATTTACTTATATTCTATCTCCCTACAAAGGGAAACTCCAAAAATCAACCAATGGACTTCATCTGGTGCTTACAAAGCAACTGGAGTCTACTCCCAGCTTTCATCCTTCTGGACCATCTGCCACATGGATGCTTTTGCCTGCATCAGTTGCCTGAGGTTATCAGAAAGTCTGCATCAAGGTGGCTTCAGGCTTGTCTTTGGTTATTAGCAAATCTTTTTGTCTCAGATTCTGAACTCCAAAACGGGTTTGAAATATTAATGTATGTTTATAGAGCTTGGAATCCCACTTGGAGAGCAATGTTGATAGACTGCTCTTTTTTTCTTCAGATCAAAGATTCCATGTTGACACAAACCATAGCCAAGTTTTATTCTTTCACAGCCTAGCTTAGCTCCAAGTTGGTTTTCAATTAATATAATCCTCTCACAAAAATCAAATGAAAGATACTACTACAAATGGAAGCATTACCTGGGAAAGTATAAAAAGTAAAGTTTATTTACTTTAGAGAACGTGGATGGCATAGAAAGGCATAATTCTTGCCTCAGGAGCACTTCTATTTTCACACAATTCCAGTGGTTTCACTGTGTGTGATTCCAAGTCCATGATGTGGTTCATCGCCTAAGGGGTGTGTGAAGGACCCCACTGAAAGGGGCTGCAGGAATATTTCATGATCCCATGGAAAGTGCCAAGACCCTGCTTGCTTTGTGTGGGAGCTCAGGAGATCTTCCTTTACCTGAGGAACATAGAGAAGAATGAGGCATCCCTGCAGAAAACTGCTATTGAGCCTTTCCTGATCTGAAAAAACCCCACATGTGTATGACCCAGATAGCAGCTCACTTTTCAGCTGCACACGCTGTTCTTAGGTCATTAGCTGAGATTGTTAATGAGGCAGGCAGTCGGTCATGGCTACAGTGTGGGGTTTTTTGGCTACTGACTCCTCGAGCCAGAGCACATTCATCAGAGCATGCAACAACAAATGACTGAAGTGCTGAGCTGCATTTGGAGAGGTAACACACAGATAAAAGCCTCCAGAAGCCCTTTGCAATTCCCTTAGTCATCCATTCCCACTGAAAGCTTCTCTTTGGGAGTTTCCAGGAGGCCTGGTGCGACCTTTGGTTGTCCTTTTGGTCAGAGCTCTTATCTGTGCAGCGCAGACCCGGCCTCTTTCTGCTTGCACTCCTCCAGAGCGGTTTTTACGGGATAAACAAGCCGCATTTGCTGATGCACGCTCCCTTATCAGCTGGACAGCACGCTTCTCCTGCATGGTGGGTCACGCTCGCTGCTGGGCCAGCTCCAGGAATTCCAGGGCGGCTGCATCACCGCTCATCACAGCCATGGGCTGCAAAAATCACAGCCACCATGTGGTGGGGCCTTATCTTAGAGCCCACCAGGAGTTTCCCGGTGTTGCAAAGCATCTTTAGGTTGATAATTGCAGGTCTTGGATCTTTTTAATGAGATAGCAACATGATAAGCACTGGTTTGGAGAGCTGTCATGACGCCAGAATGAAGGCTATGTGCCTTATTGAAGGAGAATGTCACTTTCATTGTGTTTCTTTAAAATATAAGTAAATAAGTAAAGCACTTCTGTATCTCAAAACCAGATCAGAGCAGTTATGAAACTCATTGGTAAAGTTGTCTGAAAAGAGATGCGAGACATATCTGAGGAGAGAAAACAAAAACCCTATGAATTTTTACCAACCAACCCAAGAAGTCAGAGCCCTGAAGAGGAAACATCTCAGGAATTGCATGAAGCATAGCTGGTTCAGAGCTAGTGGACTACAGAAGGAGCTATTTCTCTTGGGTCACAGCTTTCAAAAGTTATTTCTCTCTCAACATTGCAAAGCAACAGCTTTCCATCACCCTAGTCACATCCTGTTACAACATTCCTTGCTGCCTCTCCTCCAGGTCCAGCACCTCCACAGGAACCAACCTTCTTGCAGTCCATTCCCCCTTGGCTACAGGCTTTGCTGCCTTCTGCCAAGCTGTACGTGTAACCAGAATATGCCAGGTACAGAGAAGAGGCAGTCATGGAGCACTTAGCAAAAGGTGCACTCAATTTTTCAGTAAAAAAGGAAACATCTCTTCAGTGAACCATCTTTAAAAAATCAAAAATTGTCATGCACAGCCTGCTATGGGGCAGAGCTTGTGGCTTAAAACAGGAGCCAGACGTACAATAATGCATTAATTAATGCTTGTGAGGCACTTGAAAATGGCACATGGTGTATGCTCCTGCAAACCACATTGATTAATTACCATCAGTGATCTGCTGCTTTGTTAGAACCTTTCCGAGATGTGCCTTCTCATTAGCCTGGTACAAAGCAACCCTCAGCAGGAGGGAACAAGTTGCTTCAAACACGGTTCAACTTTCTGCCAGTTTAATCTTCATCTCATTGACAGACTTCTGAATCTTAATTTAATTATAGTGCCTTAAATGTTTTGTGATAGCGTATCTCAATCTCTCAGTTCTGTCTTTTTAAGCTTTTTTAAGTTGTTGTGGGACAGAGGAATAGATAATTTTTTCCAGTGTCCATTAAATTTCCCTTTGCCTCCAGTGCAGTATGTGCTCCATAAAAGAGATGAACCTGCTGCAAGTGAAATAAGCTGATGCTGCACTGTCTTTTTAGGGCAACAAAAATCTTTATAGATTATTTTCCCGAGTGCCATGAATCTCCTTCAAAGCCTTAAGTCACTGATACCAATTAAAAAACTTAATAGTCTCATTTTCAATTCACATTCAGGTCGTACAGAGCGTGTGCTCTGGCAGATGCTTAAAAGCTTTGCCTTTCAGAGATAAAATGTTACCTTGTGTGTGAGGTGGGGGTGATTCAGGAGCAGAAAGACCTGTTAAAGTGCAGCACCTGAGGCCTCCTTGTTTTCTGAATTTACAGTCTCAGGCTGTCAGTCGTATAAATGAGTGATGCTCTCTGATGTTCTCTTCCAAGCAGGCAACGAAATTGGCAGGGAGTCTTGGGTTTTGTGCTGATGTGTCCAGAATTCAAATAATTTCATTCTCGGCTATAATGACAATTGGAGGTAGAGTATTACCTTGAGAAAAGAGAAGGGAGAGATGGCTTCTGGATCCTGGATTGAATTAACAAGAGATTCCCATTTACTCTCTCCACTGAAAACTCTATTATGCAGGGCTCTTATTGCCCTTATTCAAGGGCAGGGAATTAAAAAAGTGATATCGATGGTAATGCTCTCATCTTCCTGCCATGGCACTGAATAATGGGGACAAAGAAGGGGAATCTTGACGGATGATACGCCTTTTAAAATACTGCTGATAGCGGAAACACGGAAAGGACGACGCATTTGAGACTCAGTGATGAAGTCATATTCAGATTTTTGTGCTTTTTGCTTATGACTTTAAATCAGCTCTGCTTTCCTTTTTGCTGTTGTTTTTTGGAACATTTTATTTTCTTGTTTTTGCAGGAGAGAGTCCTTACTGTAAGGAACATAATGGAGATGAGGTAAAGTGTTGCTTATACTAATTCCAAGAGAAATCTGCTCTCTCTCCTTCTGGACTCGGAGAGCAAGCATTGGGAATTTGTTCTGGAAAAGTCCAGCAACAGATTGGTATAATTATTTGGGGAGAGCAATACTGCTACTCAAGTGGAGGCTCTTCTGGCACTTTCTAGTTCAGCTTAAGCTCTTTCTGAAGTTACATGGACTAAATAAACCTGGTGGTCTTATAAAAAATGATGTAAAGGACCCTTCTTTTACAAATACATACATTTAGGCCTAAAAAATATATTTTCCTGTGTAAACTAGACCTTACATAAAATAATGAGTGTGTTTACATTAGGAACTTTTATGGAATAAGTAAGAACATCTCCATTCTATGAGTGGGTAAATGAGAAGCAAAATATTGAACTACCTTGCCAAAAGTCACTTTCTGAGGTGAGAACAACACACAGGTCTTGGTTTACTTAGTGCAAACCTGCAAGGTCTCCCTGAGCTATTAACACTCTTCCCTGATCTCAGCCCAGATGTAAATGAGGCCCCTTGCCCTAAATTTTCAGTCAAAGGTTCCGTGAGGTGAAATCATGAAAATCAGCCCTGTTACGGCTCACACTCTGTGTATGTGTAACACGACCTGGAGAACCATTGTGCACCTCCACCCTACCTCAGCATCCTGGCTACACCCACCAAGCTTTGCAAATGAACTCATTAATGACTTTAGGCTTTGTTTCTTGCTGGGCAGAATATTTGCAAGGAGCCACTGTCAATGGAGAGAACTGATAGCTGTATTTTCCTTGCCTCTCCTTGCCTCTGCTGGCGGGAATTCAGGCTAATAATTATAATTATAATCTGCCTGTGGCCTCCAGAGGTCAGCATATCACTGGAAAATAGCTAAATATCAGCGCCCTCAAACTATACTTTCCAAGTTGTTCTCATTAGGTGCAGGTTCCAATTTCACTGATAACAAGATTTAAAGGGTTTGTCCCCAACTCTCCTTGTGACAGCAAAAGCCAGAAAAGCTGTCTCAGAGTATGCATTGTAAAATGCAGAAGGTTGTCATTGATCAGTGGCTGGCACATCCCCTGGGTGATGAGTTTATTGAGAACAGTCAAGTGGATATCCACAGGTTTAAGCTGCTATTCCTGATGTGTCACTGGTGATGGAGTGAATGGACCTGCCAAGCACCTTCTGGGTGGGTGCCAGACTTGCTCAGTTGTGGGAAAAGCTTTAATTTTTAGTGCCTTTCAGCACAACTTGCAGTTGTAGTCCCACTCTCAGAAGGAATAATGTAGAATCAGAGATGAGAAATAAGTTTATCAGAGGCATGAAACAGCTTTCAGGCAAGAAGAAACTTAAGACTATTCACCTTGGGAAAGATAAGTTGGAGAGAATATGATAGCATAGAATCATGGAATGGTTTGAGTTGGAAGGGACCTTAAAGATGACTGAAATTAATTCTTTCTAAATAGGTTTATTGGCTCTCATGATATTATCTTGGATTCCCTAATCCAGAGCAAAATCAGGATGAGCTACCTTTCTAAAGGACCCAAATTTTACATGATTTCCAAGATCAGATAGATGCAATCTGTTGCAAAACACCCAGAACCAGCCTCATAACATCCTCATAAACACCAAAGAGCCTTGGTGTCACACAACACTGATTTCTCCTATTTCTTAGCATGAAGAGCACAAGATTTACTGAACCCTCAGTGTTCTCACATTTGTGCTTTGAAACAAAACCTGAAGTGGATCCAGCTGTAGACAAAGAGTAGAAACCCTGCTACCAAAAAATAAAATTAAGAATACAAACAAAAAAAAAAAAAAAAAAAAAAAAAAAAAAAAATCCAGCACAATTAAAAAAAAAAGAAAAGAAAGAAAAAAGAAAGAACAACACTCAAATCTTTCATTATTTTTATTAAAGCTGCAGAGTCTTACTACACACAACAAATATTTTATTGATATAATCTAAGTTAATAAAATAGTTGAACAACTCTTTAGATTTATATTTGTATAGAAATGATCTGGGGAACATCTCATCTTGAGACAGCAGTGCCCGAAAGCAACTATTCAGCAGGGTTTTTTAAAAGAAGAGTCTGGGACTAGAGGATGCACTGTTCATTCTCAAAGGAAAAAGAAAAAATCCATGCAAAAATAACTCCCACCCAAAGTGTAAGGCCATATGGAATGACCACATGAGGGATGGCTCTTTCCTTCCAGTATTCCTCGTCACGCCTACTGTGGGAGCTTGTCATCTAAACTCAGCAATGAAAACAAGACAGAAAGAAAACTGAATTGCACAATCCTAGTCTGCAGGTGACAACGTCATTACATCTCTTTACAGAAGTCCCTACTCTGCTCCAGTTGGGAGGATGGGTTATGGTGCTGTGTCTGTCCCCAGCTGCCAGCTGATGTCAGTTACTGTCCGTGCTGTGAACACAAGTCAGTCTAGCTACTATTGCTTTGCTCTCCCTCCTTCACCTGGGTGTAGTTTACATTCTAGGTAGCACTGCCTGCCGAGGGCTGACCGCGTGGCGTTTCCCCCCCGTTCCAAAGCCCACAGCCCAAGGGGTGATCTCCTGGCTG